CGCCCCCGCCTCCCCCGACGATGGCGGCCCTGCGGCCTGAGTTCGCGGCGGCGATGTCGGCGAGCAAGGCCGCGACGCGAATCTCGAAGCCGGAGCGGACCTCGTGGTTCGCCGAAGACAGCACCGAGCGCAGCGACTGCCATAGGACAGCGGCGGCGACGCCGGTGCGCTTGGCGTGGTGGAAGAGCCGGTCGAAGGAGTCCGCGGCCTTGCGCGCGACGCGCTCCGCGCCCTCGTAGAGGGGATTGGCGGCTCCGCGGTGGTCGGAGTCGGAGAGGAGCGCGGCGGAGGCGAGGAGGGCGGAGATTGCGGCGGCGGAGAGAGCGAGGAGGGAGGCGCGAGAATGGGATTGCGAAGCGATAGGAGAGAGCGCGTGGCGGTGATCGGGAAGTGGTGGAGGGGCAGTTTGGGGATTTTGTAGGTTTTTATTTGCTGAATTGATGATAGGTTTTGTTGAAGAGAAAATGGTGCGAGGGCGAGAGAAGCGAAGAAGGGGTCGCGTTCTGAAACCGATTCGATGCATTTTTAATTTTTAATTTTTTTTATTATTGAAATGAAATGCGGTGTGAGTATAAGAGAAGAGAAGAGAAGAGAAGTGGGTCGTTTTATTGACTTGAGTCTGCTTATGGTATGAAGGTGCAGGCGAGCATGGCGGGAGCATATCTCGCTTTTGTTCATAATGGTCATGGACGATATTCAATCTCTATATAAGGGAATTTTCTCGCACGACACGAATATGCCATGGAATGGAATTGCAACATTTTCAATTTTCTTTCGGTAAAGACGAAATCCAGTAGTTGACTGATTTCACAACAAACGTTCTGGGCTTAGGCCCACCTCCAAAAAGCCCATACTACCTTTTACTCAACCGGAATGATCCTATTAAGTGTCATGTGCTTGAAACTCCAACAAAAAATTAATTAAAATTACGAGGCAAAAAGCACAAGCTTGCAAACAAAAGTATAACTACATTTAAAATTCTTAGGAGTTGTTTGCTTTCAGAAAATATTTTTTATCTTTAATTTTTTAAAATAAATTTTATTTTTAATTTTTCAGATTTATAAAACATGTTTGGTTTGATTTTTGTTTTCTATTTTAAAAATAAAACATTGAAATTATGTTTGATTTAATTATTTTCAATTAAGAAATTCAAATGCATTTTTTATAAAGTTTACAAACAAATTTTAAATATTAAGAATATAAGTACATATTTATTAATGAACAATTTATGAATAAATAAACTTATAATTTTTCTCATATATTAAATATGAATAGTTATTTTATGTGAGATCATCTTTCAAGACTTTTCTTTTTTTATATAGAATATTTTTAGAAATTTTTATTTAAAATGAGAGAGCTTTTAGAGATATTTTTAAAAAAAATTATCTATTTTAATTTATATTTATTATATATATTTCTAAATTAAATTTAATAACTTAAAATAATTTTTTAATAATTAAAAATAATAATGTGTCACAATATAAATTATTTTTTATAAATATAAAAAAATTATACATTTAAAGATATTTATTTACGGTATATAAATTTCAAATTAACATAATTTATAGATCAAAATATATACTATTTAATTATGTATATAATTTATCATAAATTATATTTTTATTTAACAAATATTTATTCATTTTAATAATGCATACTAAAATATTAATATATATCCTCCATTAGATTTTAGACGAGTGAACATGAATTTAGGGATGACAAATATACCCGTACCCGCAGATAATACTTGAACCCGTCCCGACTTTGATGAGAAATACCCGGTTTGATCGGGTACGGGTAAAACTCGATATATTAAATCGGGTACGGGTATGTACTTACCTGCCCCGTACCCGTCCATGTTCCCATTTTTAATTTAATACTCACTTTTAATATAATTATATTAAAAAATTTTAATATTTTTTATGTGTGATTATTTATTATAATGTGAGATAGAAAAATAACCTAATTATAATTAATATAATAAAAAAATAATTTATAAATATGATATATTTTTTTATAAAAAAATATAAAATAAACAATTCTGTTAGGATAACAATTCTGTTTAAGATAACAAGGAATTTGTTGGTTAGTTAAGAGATAACTCCTATACGCTCCTGCAAGATGGTGGAGGGATCAACTACACCAATCTTGGATTTGAGGAATGAATGTCTAGTTGCTGGAAGTGGTTTTGTAAGGAGGTCAGCAAGTTGTTGAGTTGATGGAACATGTAGAATTGAAAGCTTTTTGTCTACGACTAGATCTCTTACAAAATGATAGTCTATAGCTATGTGTTTCATCCTTGAATGAAAAATTGGATTGGCACACAAGTATGTAGCACCAAGATTGTTTGAGTGTGTTGTGGCAGGTTGAGAAATTGAAGAATGGAGCTCTTTTAATAATTCTTGTAGCCAAAGAAGCTCGGTGGTAGTTGAGGCAATTATTCTATACTCAACCTCAGTTGATGATTTTGCCATCGTGGCTTGCTTTTTGTTGGACCAAGAAATTGGATTCTTGCCAAGATAGATGATAAATGTTGCTGTGGAATTACAATCTTGAGTGTCTCCAGCCCAATCCAAATCACAGTATGCTTGAAGAGAGAGGTTTTGATCAACAACAAGGTGAATACCATGATCAAGTGTCCTTTTTAAATATCTTAGTACTCTTTTAGTTGCCTGCATATGAAGATCAGTTGGTCTATGCATAAATTGGAACAATCTGTTAACAACAAAGGAGATATCATGACGAGTCATTGAAAGATATTGAAGTGAGCCAATGATTCATCTAAATTCTGAAGTATTGCATGAAGGAGTGTCAGCTGGGCAGTGAAGAGAACATGTGGTGGACATTAGAGTGGTGATAGGCTTGGCATTTTCTATGTTGTTGGAGTGGAGTAGGTTTCAGATATAGTTATGTTGGGTGAGAAACACGCCACTGTCTGTGGGTATGAATTCTATCCCAAGAAAATGTGTTGGTGCACCGAAATTTTTAAGGGAGAATTTTTGTGCCAAGGCTTTTTGAAACTATGTGAGGAATTGGCAATTATTTCCTGTGAGAAGCAAATCATCCACATAAACCAGAAAATAGGCAATGACATTATCATGATGATATACAAACAATGATGTATCAGAGCGAGCATTGGTAAATCCATATGATAGGAGAAAAGCTTTAAGAGATTGGTACCAAACTCGTAGGGCTTGTTTGAGCCCATAAAGAGATTTCTTGAGCTTGCAAACATAGTTAGGATTTTGTGGGTGGATAAATCCGTATGGTTGAGACATATAGATGTCTTCTGAGAGTGAGCCACGGAGAAATGCATTATTTATATCCATATGTGACAGACCAGCCGCGAGATAATGCTAAGCAAAGCACAATTCGAACTGTTTGAGGTTTTATAACAGGACTAAATGTGTCAAAGTAGTCCACACCTAGTTTTTGATTGAAACCCTTAGCAACTAGCCTTGCTTTGTAGCGAGAAATAGAGCCATCTAGGTTTCTTTTAATCCTGAAAATCCACTTGCAACCAATCACATTAAATTTAGATTTGGGAGGAATGAGAGTCCATGTGTTGTTAGCCATGAGGACATTGAATTCATCACTCATTGTCGCCTTCCATTCAGGAATTTTGATTGCTTTAGAGGGGCAGGTTGGTTCAATAAAGGGCCGCAAAGGAAACCGACTGATGGCATTGACTTGCTTGGGCTTGAAAATACCATTCTTTGATCGAGTCACCATTGGATGGTGGGAAGTGACTTTGTCCGAGGGAGCTTCTGCTGTTGAAGAAGTAGGAGAGGACACATGATTTTCAGAGCTAAGTTCTGTTTGGGGAAGTGAGGATATTTGGTGATTGGCTTGAAATGAGGTAGAAGTGTTTTTTTTAGAGATATTTGGGGAGGGTGTTGGTGGTGCCAAAAGGTTTGGTAGTTGATTTGCTGGAGGCGGAGAGTTTATGGTAGGTCTATATTTGAATAGTTCAAAATTTGTTGCAATTGAATGGTTTGAGTTTAAAATTGATGAAAGGGATGAATTAGTGGGTGGTGGGACAAGGAATGGAAATATGTCTTCAACAAATTGAACATGATGAGAGGTGTACAATTTGTGAGTAATTAAGCTATAGCAGTGATATGCACTTTGTGAAAAACTATAACCAAGGAAGACACATGGCTGTGATTTGTGTTCAAGTTTATTTGAATTATATGATGCTAGTCAAGGGTAGCAAAGGCAACCAAAGGTTCTGAGTTTTGTGTAGTTTGGAGATTGATTAAAAAGATTTTGAAGTGGAGATTCCATTTTTAAGCTTGGAGTGGGAAGTCTATTTATTAAATAGGCTGCAGTTTGTAGGGCATAGGACCAGAACTTTTATGGGAGAGAGGCATGGTGAATGAGGCATCGAGCAGTTTCAACCAAATGACAGTGTTTTCTTTCTAAGAGACCATTATGTTCAGAAGTGTATGGTGGTGTGGTTAAGTGAGAGATGCCATTTTGTTGGAGAAAAGGCCTTAGTTTTAGATATTCTCTTCCATTGTCAGAATATATTGTTTTAATTTTAGTGTTAAGTTGATTCTCAACTAGAAACTTAAATACTGGAAAAACAGTAGAGACATCTGACTTGTGTTTCAAAGGATACAACCACACATACTTTGAAAAATGATATATGAAAATAACATAATAAGAATGACCACTTATTGATGGAATCGGGGGTGGTCCCCACACATCAGAATAAACAATTTCAAGTGGTTTATTGCTAGACAAAGATGATTTATGAAAATAAAGCTTATGACTTTTATTTTGAAGACAATCAGTTCAACGTTTATTTGAAGACATAAAAGGTAATTTGTTGGTTTTAAGAGCATGATGAAGGACACGGTTGTCAAATCCTTGACCTCGAAATGAGAAGGAAAGAATTCAATGGTCACAACATTAGTTTGACACAATTGTGATACAGAAACAAGATTTTGTGTGATGTGTGGAACATATAAAACACCAGATAAATGAAGTTGTTTGGATTTTGTAGGAAGACAAGTAGAACCATAGGATTTAATAGGTAAAGACTTACCATCAGCTACTAGAAGATGATCACGTTCAGTAGCATCATGAGATAAATTGAGATTGGCTAAGTCATGAGTAACGTGATGATTGGCTAAGTCATGAGTAACGTGATGAGAGGCTCCTGAATCAAGTGGCCAAGTAGAATCGGCATTGGCAGATTTTTGATCATGATATCCATAAGATGATATGTTTCTTTTGTAACTTGAAACATTACTTTGCATTGTGACCACGCTTGTCACAGAATTGGCACACCATAATATTTTCTGCTGAGTCAAAGGTAGCTTTGCGGGGCATTGTAGGTGGTCCTCTTGGAAACCTTCCTTGATTAGAAGGCATGGAGCTTTTGTTAGCAAGATTAGCAGTAGTTGGAACGGATGAGTGGATGAGTTCCTCTCGATTAAGAAATATCTCAAAATCCACAAGTTTATCAAACAATTCATCAAACTGTAGAGGTGAATCAAGGGTACAGATAGAAGCACTGAATTCACGGAATGTTGGACCAAGACCATTGAGTGCAGCAATAACAAGATCAATGTCATCCACTGGATGCCCAATGAGGGCAAGCTCATCAGCAATTGAACGTATATTACGCAGGTAATCATGGACACTAGACGTGCCTTTAGTTATGGAGGAAAGTCTTTCTTTGAGAGACATGATTCTAGCATGGGATCTGTTAGCATAGGCTTTCTGCAATTTCTGCCATGCACCAGTAGAGGAAGTCGTAGAAGACACAACAATTTGTGCGTCTGGACTATAGGAACCTAACAAAGCAAGAGACACATGGTTGTCTTGGCGACACCAGAATTTATAGGCCGGATTAGGTTGAGATGCATCACCGGAACCAGTTGTTTTGGAAGAGCATGGCGTGTCTCCATTGGCATAACCTTCTAAATTGTTGGCTTGAAGAAGATGCATGATTTTTTTATACCAGATGGGGTACTTGGAGGCATTAAGTTTAATTGGAAGATTGGAAGCAAAGTTAAATTCAACAAGTTTTGAATCAGAGTTTGTTGAGGAAGCCATGGAAAAAGAAGGATCGATTCTACTGTTAAGCAAAAAAAAGAGCTCTGTTATACCATGTAGAAACAGTATAATTGGATGTTTTCAAATCTATTTCAAATTAGTACCGATACATCAATAAATAGAGTTAATCTCTAACTGAATGAGTTTGACTAATAACAATTCTGTTAGACTATTAACAATTCTGTTAGAATAACAATTCTATTTAAGATAACAAGGAATTTGTTGGTTAGCTAAGAGATAACTCCTATACAACTTAATTAGCTTTATAAATGACATGAGACAAATCCCCACCAACAAAAATAAAGGAGATAACACTCTCAACTAGGTTAAAACACGCATGATGAGTGGCAACACCCCATTGAAGCATATTTATAGCACTTAAAGAATCAGACTTAATAATAAAATGTTTTTACCTTTTATTCCATGAAAGAGCAACTTAAATAAAATTATCCACAATTTTTCTAGTAACATTGAGTAAAACCCAATATTAACAGCAAAAGGGAATACAATTGCTCATTTGTGATCACGAAATACATTATCAACAGAAGACTTCCTAGAAATTAAATTTAGTGAAGTATCACAATTCAATTTAAACCATCCACGAGGTGGGAGATTCCACCAAATCGATGGAGAAATATTAGCGGCACAACCACTCTTAATCAACCCAACAAATTGACCGTAGGTACTCACTATGGTCCCAAACTAGCCCAAAATTGCGTTCTAACTGTAAGAGGGCTCATAACCAAAATTTGGGAAACAAATTGGTTTCTACTATATATAATACAAGGCATAACTATAATACAAGACATAACGTAACTACAAAGATAAGAGTGCAACAATTACCATCAACTAAAGACTTGTCACACATATTTCTTAACAACCAAATGTATAAATCTTGACTAAAGAACATTGATAGGATTTTGAGACAAGCGCTTCAATTCACTATAATATAGAAATTAAATATGGGTTGTCAAACCTTAAAGACTTCAAAGATAGTTACAATTTATGATATCCTAGTAAAAGCTTGAAATATAAAGATTCACAAATGTTATAAACATGATGTTGTTCATATTTTGATATTGGAATTATAAAAAGGTAACAACAAAAAAATAGTAAAACTAAAAGATAATAGTATGTAATTCTATTGGAATTGAGTTTGACCAATCCCACCCTTATATTCTCCTAAGATCATCTATATATGATTTCCACCATCCAATGTTATGGAGTTCATTAAAGTCATTCCAAATGAATTTCTTGCATTTAGAAATTTTAAAGAGTCTAACTCAATAAACGATTCCTCTATTTATCAAATTTGAAACCTTGCATTAAGTTTAAGAACTTGTTCAACTAACAACTCTAAATCTATTCTTAGTCTTTAAAATTGTTAGGTGACCTGGTTCAAAACTAGATTTAGAAAATGTTTTCTAACCAAAATCCAAATCAAAGATCAAAGATGAGTGATCAAGTCACCTTAGTATTAAGAATAGAATCAAAATTACTCACACTGAATAATATATTATCATATATATAAATCAAAAGGAGTACATAACAGTTTGATGGATTGTTCAACCCCAACAAAAAGAAAAGTTAGCCACTCATGGTGATGAGAGCTAATCCAAAATACATGGAGAAGGAGTAGAAGAAAGAAATAAAGATCCTAGAACCCTCATTCCTAGCTGATTCTTAAACTCCTTGCTTGCTTTGTAATTTTCGCTCAAGTCTTTGTGGTTCTCTCCTTTTTTTCTCCTCCTAAATCTTTATATATGTGCAGCAAAATAAAAAAGAGTATGGAGGAGAGAGAGTAAGCCACTTAGCCCTAGTCTAAACAATTGAGCGATTTGTAGGATTTTTCATGGTGAAGCAACTTCAATAGCTGAGCCCTTTTGAATCCGCTAAACCCTTGGGAATCCAAAAATCTGCACCCTTCTAGAGCCAATCTGTTCAGCCCTTTCAAAATGACTTAATGGTTTAACCTCTACTTCAAATCTCGCTCTCTACCTTTGAAGGGCTTAGTCTTTTCAAAAGGGCTCAACCCTTTTCTAAACACCTAATCGGATTGGAGTTTTTTGAGACTTTGGATATTCATTGAACCCTACAAGATATAAAACAAAGAGTTTAAGTAAAATTTTCATCAACTCTTTATAAACTAACTAATTTAAACAACTCCTTTGAATTTTGTACTAGTTTAAGGGTAAAACATAAATTTCTTTCAAAACTAGTTAGATAAGTGTCAAAAGAGTTAAGTCATTTAGGTTAAATTGTCACTTATCAAACACTTGATACTTGTGTTTAGGAACCACCATGCACATACTTTTAGGCCAGAGCATAGCTTCTAAATGTGTGATCAATACTCTCAAGCTCTACCCCACAACACATACAAGAAGAAACATTGGTTAGATAGCTAGAACACCACACTTCATTCGTCAACAATGCCTTAGCAGCAATTTTCCATACAAGAATTCAAACCTATTTAGGGCATTGCCATCCCCAAATCACCACATGTGGAGGGTCACCCCTCCCCCCATTGATCCATAAGTCAAGTTTGCATACATAAAAGAGATTGAAAGCACATCATCAATAGTCCCCTTCCATGACACAATGTCCACACCACGCAACACATTAGGGGGGATGAACCATGCAAGGCAGAACCAAGCCTAGAAGGAAGGAATCAATAATCTAAAAATTCCAGTCCCTTGGCTCAATAATAAATTAATATATTGTTTTAAGAAGTAAGTCCCTTAGGATCCCCCTTAACACTTCTTAAAACAAACTCCTACAACCTAATACCCAAGCATCCTGCAAAAACTTAACCAACTCGCTATTACTAATATTCCATGAGAGCATATGCAATAACTAGTCTAAAATACCACACAAGCCTCGCTAAAATTCAAGCCATACCAATTTTTATCAATGAAGGGGATCATAGAATCTCCATATTGATATTTGGCTCTAATTACTTACACCCAAAGTGCATCCATCCTTGTACACAGTTGCCAACCGTACTTCATCATAAATACATTATTAAAATCTTTTGTTAAACTCAGCCCCAATCCCCAACAGCTTTGGGTTTGCACACATTATCCTAGTAGAGCATGTTTTTGCCATTGCACTTATTTTGCTTGTCATATGCATACTGCTCAATTTTGAGCAACTCAAAATTTGCTTGTTATGCTTTCAAAGTAGAGCAATGGGTCACCGGTCCACTTAGCCCACCACGAGTTATTCAATCAACTCAACTTTTGATGAGTTTATAAAAGATGAACACACTTCAACTCACCATAGGTTAGCTCACTTCAATAAAAATATTATAAATATTATTAAACTTAATACAAAAAATTACCTTTTATAGTATTGTATCTCAAAATTAAAAACTATGTTAATAATATGACCAAAAAATTGTAAAAAATGTAGATATCAACCACAATCAATTTAACCAACTTATAATATTACATAATATCAAAATAGTGAAATAAAATATTAAAAATAATATCAAATTGATACTAATGAACCTCTATATATATAAAATATGAATGACTATCTTGCACAAGAATGTTTTTAAAGAGTTTTTTTTAATGAGAAGGTTTTTAGAAATTCTTTTTAACTTCACATTGTAACACCCCAAGATGCATCGTGTTGAGTGTAGGGTAGTTGGCGTCGAGTTAATGTGTATGATTAATATGTATAACTCTTATATTAGTTAATACCGATATAAATATGAGCTATGAATGAATTGAATGATGTTAAAAATGATATTGGTACATTTATGTGTATGGATCCTATGAGGGTCATGCGATGGAAAGTCTTACCCATGATGTGAACGTGTGATAATTATGAATAAATGTACAATTATAAATATGTACTTCGATAACATATGCATAAATGTTTTTATGGATACAATATGGAATACATCGTCAAGGAAGGTCTCCTTTGTGTAAAAACTTAGGGATTCATGACCTTTGAGATAGTCAGTTTCACCCTTTTCTCTTTGATGCATTCACCTCCACTACTTCCTCTTTTTGCCTCTCTTCCTCCATTACCACCTCCTCCTCCTTGCATCCCTTTTATTCCACTTCTCTTCACTTGTGCAACCACCTTCTCCGCTTATTTCCTTTGTCAAACCTAAATCGTTTGCAATAATGACAAATTCAATCACCACGCCTTTCTTCCATTAAAACATTGCATTCAAACTCCAATCAATGTTTCAGAGGTAAATAGTTAGACTTGATGAATGACTAAACATACATATTCAACTTTGTGTTTTTTATGTCAAACTTATTTTATTAGAGTTATCCTAAATTTTGCTATAAGGACTAAAAAAAATTAATAAAAAAATATAGGACTAAAATATAAATTAAGTGAAATTATAGGAGCTAAAAGATATTTAACACTTTTTTCTAATGTGAAACTTAATATGGAACTTAGGAAGTGTTTGTATTACTATCTTTAATTTTATATATAAGATTCAATTAACTAATTTACCAAAATTAAGAAATAATTAATTTAGTTGATAACAATAAATTTATTTTATATATATATATATATA